CTCAATGTGTTAAAATAATAAAAAAATATTGAAATAAAAAAAAATAACAACTATATTTTTTGAGGTTTTGGCCAGCCAGGAACCACTGTGCAATGGTTGCTGCCGAGTAAACAGGCGATCGCGTGACACACATTGAGAGTCTGCTTCTGTTGACAGCCGAGTGAACACTGATGTAGTGTTTTGATAGCGTTGATTTGGTCAAAAGCTATACTGTTTTTTCCTTGATTTGCTTTCCGTGCTGAGCGACAATGCTACCGACGCCAAGGAGGTGCTCCCACACCCGAACCCTACCTATCGACTCATCAACTCATGAACCGGGGACCAACGGCATTACTTCCCTTCCGAAGGAAGGCGTGATCAGAGATGTTATGCCTCAGAACACCCCAGTGGCACCGACTGGAATTGAACCCAGGCCTGCTTGGGTGAGAAGTCTAGACCAACAATTAAACACTCCATTCGAGCAGATAAAATGACGTTTACTACCACTCGAACTTTGAAATGAAACATTATTTTGAGATTTTTTCTTCTAGAACCTCGAGAAAATTAGCCAACATTTGTACGTTTCTTAAAAAAATAGAAATTAGTTGGACCAGTTTTGTGAAATCGCTGGTAGAAAGTCACGCCAAAACTGCTTGACAAAGTGGTCAATTGAAATAGGCGGAACAACCTAACGTAAACAATGGCTTTAAACGCAAACTCCTCCAGAATCAAAGCACATCCAAGCAATCTAACACCGTCATCTGATAGAGCAAAGTTTCTTTATCGAATGGCATTGTTAGTTTGCGTGGGAGTGTTTTGATTCTCGAGAACTTTGTGTTTAAAGCCATTGTTTTCGTTTGGTTGTTCCGCCTATTTCAATTGTTGGTCTAGAAGTAATCACGCGTACCTCTACACCACCGGCACCGCTAGTTACAGCGGGTTGGGCAAGTTTTAAACATGTATTAGGAGTCTCCGCAGATAGCATGGCTTGCGACATGCATCCATGGATCAAGTTGAATGGAGACTACTGCTAGGTAGGTTCAGCAGCCAATCCGGCTTAGCATGAAAGATACCATGATTTTTTTTTTTAATAATTCGTTTATTTTTCTAGGCTCATTTGCTGTAGCTTTGCGGAGCCGATATTCATTGTTTAGATAACAAAATTACTTAAAACTAACGTTAGTAAAGCGGGGGCCGATTACTCGCGGTTATCTCGAGGTTAGGGGTAACAAATTGTAACAAATGGATGGCAGGGTAGGGATTGTGAACACAAGGTTTGGCGAGCAATGTGCTCTTGATCTCGAACTAGGCGACACTCTGAAGATACCATGATGCTGCCGTGCCGATTGAGTAAAAGAAATGTGGATAGAATTTTAGACATTAAATGATCTTTATTTCTTGAATTTATGTGGGTTACATGTATGAATGTTTCAAGTGACACAGATGCGTCTGTTCAACTTTAGTTCTTTGATCGATTCTTTTCATCGGCTTTCTCTTTCGTTAATAACTTAACTGCAACAACATTCCCTGTTGTATTTGATGATTTGGACGATAGATAACAACCTCCTTTATCATGCTATGTGGCAAAAATAGCACGAAAACTGTTTGCATAGCCGTGGTTATGAAAAGAGAAAGTCGATGAAGAGAATCGATCAAAGCAGAAAATAGGCCCTTTTTACAGCTCTGTATAGAGTTCATTTGAAATTTATAAATAATCATTTAAAGTTCCTAGTCCTATCAGACCTGTTTAGAGCATTCCTACCTTGATAGGATTGGTTTGTTTGGAATTGAAAAAAGACTACTTATAACTACTATTTACAACTACAACTACTATAAACACTTGACTGATGCAAAATTTGAAATTTTCACTCCACAGTGCTCAAACGGTTTCAAATTGGGCACTGATTACCCTCCCAAAATTTGAACTAATTTGGTGAGAAACTGACTTGGCACAAACCATTTGAAGTTTATATGTGAATTACTATGGAGAAACCATAATTTCGGTTCATATCTATCGCAAAATTCACCAGTTTACTCTGCTTTAAAAAATGATAGCTGAGCTTGTTGAAAATTTTCTCAGCTACAACTTTGTTCAAGACCACTTTTCGATCAAATGTAAGGAACAAACATTATTAATGATTCAAGTCACTGATATCTTATGATTATGCTCAATCAACCGGTTAAGCAGGCAACATTGGTGTTTATGGCGCGTAGAATGGAAAATCATGGCTACTATGTCGCACTGCAGAATACAGTGTTGCCCACAATACAGTTGCTTGATCTTACCATAAGATTATCAATCTCTTAAACAATTAATAACTATTTAATTTGACGTTTGGCTGAAAAACGAGTTTCTGAAAAGTTGTAGCTGATAAAAATTCCCATAAGAATAGCAGTAGAACTTGTTAACAGTACAATATGTAAAAAGGCTATAAGACAATGAACAAAAAGTTTTTTTTTTCATAGTAATTTCCATATAAACTTCAAATGGTTTGTGCCATGTCAGTTTCTTATCAAATGAGTTTAAACTTTCGGAGGCTAATCAGGACCCGATTTGGAGCCGTTTGAACACTGTGGAGCGAAAATTTCAAATTTTGCCTCAGTCTAATATACACCTAACCTATTTACTATACACAAATTGCTTATTAAAGCATGTTCTGATATATTACATTTTTGTGCAAATTGAGTTCATTTCGTTAATTCTGGAATCTAAGCACTCTGTTTTGTGCCACCTGAACTTTGTTCCTGTGAGTTTGAGCACTTGATTCCCAAACCGGCGCAGCGTAGAAAATTGCATGTGCTATGATTTGATTGTAGACAGCCAGTTTGTTAACCCTAGAGAGGTGGGATCTACGGCAAAACAGCGGATACAGACACCTAACCAAGGTAGAACACTGGACTGCGGTTTTATCGACATGCGAACGGAAGAGGAGCTTTGTTACTACGGCAGACCACTCAACCCTTGTGCCATCCATGATTACAGTACAAGATGGCGCCGATTTTAGTTTAGGCGATTGCCTGTAGAGGAACATGATTGCTTGGGTTTTGGAGGCATTGATTTTAATTACCCAGGTGTTTGCATAATCAGCAAAGACGTTAATGTTTGTTTGTTATTTTGCGAGGCATCCTTCCATTGACGGCTATTGCGGTATCTGCGGACAGGAAAAATACGCAACCGTCTCCGAGAGGAGGAATGTCGGAAGTGTAAATGATGTAAAGCAAAGGGCCCAGCATACTGCCTTGTGGGACTCCTGCTGGGATGGAAAACGTGTCTGAAAGACAACCATTCAACGATACCTTAAACGACCTTTGCTGGAGGTAGTTACGGGTGATTTTAACCAGATGTAATGGGAAGTTGAAGTTACAAACAATTTGCGCAGCGCTGAAAGGAGGCTGATTGGTCTAAAGCTTAAAGGCTACGTTGGATCCTTACCGGGTTGTGGATGGAATTTCCTTCCTCACGTCTATATATACATCACGCACACCTCTGTATACATGTCATAGTCCAGCTTTGCAGGAAATTTATCTCGGATGACACGTGTTACTTTTCTTATTTCTCCAGCGCTATTTAGCAGTTCCACATCAATTGACGAATCTGAAAAAAATCGACCGCCTCCGATTTGCATGAAACTTTGCATCGTTGTTGGTTCATTTTGGATCTTGTAAACATTGAAAATGGCTTTTTTTTTCAAAAAATTGTAGAAAGGAAACGGCACTTCTAATCGAAATGACGTCTGAGACAAAGGTGTAAAGAAAAATATTTTTTTTTTCTGGGAAACAGATACAACAAAATGTTTTTAGTAATTTCAAGTAAATGTTCAAAATACAATGTTAAAAACCTAAAAAAAAAATCAAAATAATGGAAAACACATTTAAAAATTAGTATTTTTGAAATTTTTAAATTATGCTTATTTTTAATTATGGTTAGCAACTTTGTAGTCAATAACAATTGTTGAGAAAGTTAGAAGATACTGGGAGGTAAGCACTTATAATCGGCAAGAGATGTGAGAGTGTGAGAAAATTTGCGAAAAAATCTAAGTGCACCGGTGGGATACTCTTGCCGATGATATGTGCTTACCTATTCTTATCTTCTATCTTTCTCATATACATTTAAAATTATGGACACTTAAAAATGGTAAAAAACCGTAGAACAAGAATTTTTGGTACAATTTTTGAACCTTCTTTTTAAGACTTTTTTATGTTTTTATACTCAGAGAATAAAAAAGTTCAAACACTTAGCCAAAAGTTTCCTGTTCGACGATTTTTGTCAGTTTTCAAGTGTCCATGGTTTCCAAAAGTTTGCATTTTTCATAACCTTAACAATAAAATTTAAAATCGGACAACGAAAATTTGAGATATTTGAGTTTTTTTTAATTTTTACTTCAAATAAATAAATAAAATATCGAACAGTATCGTATTTACCATAAAGGTATGGGAGGGACCCATTCCACTCCATGGCATTTGATATAATGCAATTTGGCGAAGGAAATTTAACTAATACCTAGTTCTTTACTCCATTAATCTGTTCAGGCTTCCATCTTTATGATCTTAGCACAGAACAGAAGGGGAAGTGCAAACAAATCGGTGAATCAAAAAGTGGTTCGTTTTTCTGCTCAACCAGCGATGTGTTGTGGTAGCGTTCCACACGGGCTTTCTATGTGCACTCACACTATCATAGCATGCTGCCTATCTTAACTGCAGGCAGAAGATGCCTTCTACCGCTAGGTGGGCTAGTGTTCGCAAATGATAAGTGGAGCCACTTTCTGATCCGAAGTTTCATTCCTGTGCTCTTAGTCTGAATGGAACCGCACATTAACTGCTATCAACTTTTCAATTTTTGAATTGTTTTTCAATATCTTGCAAATTTGCAAATATTTTCTCACCCCTTTCATTTACGCAAATATGCGCAGGATTACTCCAGAACGAAAATAATGATCAATCGTGGTATCGAACTCTTCCTCGCTGTATACCTATTTAACATCTTTCTCTTTCAGAGAAAAATGAACCTTGAAAAAACCTACCGGTGTATTTGGCAGCCTCCTCTGCAATTATCTCCCTTGCTCGGTAGCTTTGCGTGGTAGAAACTTCTACACTCTGACAGACGATTGATTTCCAATTTTCTTCTGCGCTAGATTGTGCACTGTGCAGCTTCGTTCTGCCAGGGCAATAGTAGATTAAATGCAATGCAGCTTATTTCACTTGCCAGCGCTTTTTTCACCGCTTGCACCCGTACGGCGTTGAGTGCGATGAAAAACAAAATGCACCGCCTTATTCACTGGAGGAACGCATTTTAGTGAGCTTTTGGCAGACTGGGCACTCCATTAGCACAACTCTTTTTTTTTTTTCTAAAACAATAACACAAATTCACTCGACCAACTAGCTAATAGAGGCAAACTCTAATAGCCTATTCCAATCACTGTTAGATCACACTGGATTATGAATACGAAATTAAAACCGAAACAGCTGCTTTTGCGACCGGTGGTGCTGGGAAATACAAATCACAATGCTGATGATATTGAAAGAAGTATGACTATGTATGACACAAATATGTTTATGGAAACGCAAGGAGGAAGCCAACGCCAAGCAACGATATGCTACCGCCACGGTGTCAAGAGATGAACTGGTTCGAAACAGACTCGCCGGAGCATTCTGCTGTTGAATGAACCGACTATGGAGGTGTTTACAGTTGCTTCAGGGTTTCAGAGCATTCTAGAGAGGCACAAATGAATTCATTTATTAGATTAGGACTGAGTTCACGATGCTCGTTTTCTCCGTTTTCTCAGCATAGAGAAAGGGGAGTAAAGCAACGGTACGCCGATAATCACCCGTTATGTCACGTTTGGTAGCACCAGCTATTTAGTGTGGGTAGGCTTGATGCGTATATTATACTTTTAAACTAGAATGTTAACGTTAACTTATGTGTATTCTTGAATTGGAAGAGACGTATAAAGCTTGGTAAGAGCTCTATTGCAGCAAAGTTGTATATCCATATATTTATTAGTTTGCAATACTTTGATTGTCTAACATTCTCACATTCATTTTGTAACTTATTAACAATTTCGGTAGATCAATTTAAAAATGGACCGATATATTATTTGAAGCAAATCTTATCAGTATAGAAATTAATTAAAGAAAATATTGGCTGCTACAGAAAGTATAATCTTGGAATCACAATCCTATCTTGTATAAAAGCTGGTGTAATTCTAGGGTAGTATGCGACTGGGCATTCATTTTCAACTTGAACACAACTTTTACACGGTGTGTTTCGTGTGCTAGCAGTATACTATAAATACCACTGTAAATTTGACTCACTGGCACCCGATCCGCCCATAAACGAAGAAACGGCTGTCGGCCCACGGTGTTTATGTGGAGAAAATTCATAACAAAAAAAGCATCGCTTAATATTTCGCCATTTGAAAATCTAGCTTTTTACCTGTTTGAAAAGAATACACCGAGGGATGTGTATAATCACAAATATTGTTGCTACCTCAAGACCGTTCAAAGCGAGGTTGCTGAGCTCGAACTTCTAAAGTTAATTTAAGATCACTTAAAAATATACAAAATATTTTTCTCATAACTTAAGGGGAACTATTAATTAATAACCAAAGTAATTTAGAGTTTAATATCTCTATGAACCAGATAGCCACGAAAATGATGATTGATGCATTTTTAAAGCATTTGCCAACTAGTAGCAGTAAATAGATGAAAGTAAACGTTACTCCATCAGTATTACATTTAAAAACCATGTAACCCTTCACGAAATTCTTCTAATATTATAACTAAAACACTTTTTTGACGATCTCAAAGAAAATCAGCCCTTTTCGTTGAGAAATAAAAAATAAATTCATAAGATTGTAATTTTGATAGAGGACGCATTTCGCGCCAAATCGTATTCGGAGCTGGCAGCACCCTCTCAGATTTCAATAAAACTTTCTAGATGTGTGGACCTGGACTTTAGTAAGCCACTTTGCATATACTTAGTTTTTCCAAAATTTATCTAGACTAACCTTTGAGAAGGGCCAAACTTTTTTTGCCGATTTTTTTTCAAAAAAAAATATTATGGAAAAATGACAACTCCTATAAAAATGTGATGTAGGGATGACTTTTAGGAAATTGTCCAAATTATCGAAAAAAAATACTGAAAAATTCAATTAGAGATCTACATTGAAAAAAATCGATTTTTAAAATTTGAAGTCGATTTAAAAAAATGACCATGTTTGTACTTTGACTATATGTTTTAGTATTACCAACAATCAATACGAAACTAACGATTTTAAATTGGCTCACCACTTTAGTAGCCTATTGGTCCCAAGCAAACGATTAACGTACCCTATTCTAGTTGAAATTCTATTACTACACGATGTTTGTTTTGATTCGCTATGAAAGTTTGACAGATAACATCAGGGGTGTGTGGATTCATGCAGAACATGCAGGGGTAAGTGAAATAGCTTGGGACTGCTTGGGACCGTTGTTCTGGTACTGAGTGAGCCAAAAATAATAATGATTTTCTTCGGGACCCAGTGGTCTTAGAGTTACCTCTATGGTATTACTTCTACGTGAAGTCAACGATTTACATAGTTGAAGATGCTAATTTCAAATAACAGACTGTAGTGGTAATTTTTATACGATAGATGGAGTAGATGAAAGCATAGAGTTGATAGTTCCGTTATAGTACGGCAGTGTGAAGATTGCATATAGATATTAGAATAGAGAGCTAGGACAACTTTTAAGGAAGGTACAAATCGGTTTTTTCATCTCTCTTTACCAAACTCCCCCTTTGGAGAGGGATGGTGAGGGGTGCCCCCCCCCCCACCACCACTGGCAAAAAGAGATGAAAACCGAATCGCTCAAGTACCAACTGTGTGTTTGAAACAGTTCTACCGATTTTTTACCGCACTTCAGTTGTTATTCGAAGGAAGGCATCCAGTCGTAGGTTTGGAAATTGCAACTATTGTTTACCCCTACCAAAAAAATCGGTAGAACTGTTTCAAACACACAGTTGGTACTTGAGCGGGTCGGTTTTCATCTCTTTTTGCCAGCTTCAACTATGACCATGTTTGATTTAGATGAAACTTTTTCTCAAGATAGGTAATTATGTTTAGTCCCAACCGTCCATATTTACATCGTGAGATGGGCACTTTTAAGGAAAAAAAATTTCTAAAAAAAACTTTTTCATGTCTGAACTGATTTTTTTAATTTCCATGTTCACACAAAACTAAACCAGTGAAGCTCATAATCATCTCAGAACCCAATGAAGCGCAATTTGCGATTCAATTTTGTCTAATCAGCACTCAAGTTCACTTTGATTAATCGAGAATTTCATATGAAAAGGGCTCATGATGCATTTCTCGCCAAATCATATCCGGAATCGGCAGCACCCTCTCAGAGTTCAATAAAAATTTCTGGACATGTAGACCTTGTCAAAAAATATCATTCCTTTATTCTGTTGCCTACTACTGAGGCAAAATCTGATAATATATGAGAGAAAAAGGACAAGATTTTTCATATTTCATTTACTTATATATTTTCAATGTTTTAAACCTATTTTCATACATTCTATTTTTTCCTATTTTCCAATCAAGTTAAATATTTTTGAGTGTGCTTAGAATACCCTGCTCCTTACCAAGGCTCTTCACCTGCCTCACCATGTACGTTGGTGCGTTAAATTCTGCTACGACTTTATTCACGGACCAAGACTTTGGCAATACTGATAGTACTGTTATCTGATCTTTTCTGTCAGCTGTAGGGGAATTGAACTTCTCCTTTAGCTGCACAATCATTTCTTCGTATGTCTCTACTTTGCTCATATCTGCTGTATCTTGGCCAAATACATTTTTTTCGCACTGCTTGTGTAATTCCTAGAGATTTTTTAGAACGATAATCCATGCTCCTCATGTTCCTTGATGAAATTGGAGATAAATTCAACGTTTCCACAAAGCCATTAAACTTCTCAACATTGTATGGGCGTAGCAGATCATCTGCTGATGAAACTGACTCCAATGATGGAACCAATGGTACCGTATATGAAGCAAAGAAAAAAAAAATTAAAAAAAAAATAGAAGTGCAAGGTTCAGAGGTTGCAGTTAAAAGTTTATAGAATCATCAGGATGACTGTTCTTACCTAGCTCATCTACGGATTGATGGCCACTCGTTGATCGACCTGGATCATCACTATGCTGCTGCCCACTAGTTGACGGTTGGATGTTTACTTCATTTCCAACTGATCGGCGTTTTTTCATAACTGGACTTCTATTATGAGATATCACGCTACGGCATGACTTATAAATGCTCATCGTTTCATCCATTTTGTGGTTATATCCCATAGAATGTATTTTTTCTACATCGTTGACCATATGGCCCGTAACTTATTTCGGTTGCATCTCGGATTATTTATATTTGCACAACATTTCAATCCTTTGAGCTTTAATTAACTACTTTGGTCCATGATAATAATTTTACTAAAACTTGTCTTCCCAACTTTCGTTATCAGATTGAGTGCTGCTTGTATGAAATCAACCTTAGTTTTATAGTGCTCATAGATAGAACGAAGTGGTAGGTATATAATGTTAATGGTTTAGGTATAAATAACAGAAGGGCATATAGAATTATGATGTGATAGGTTGGCTTCCCAAATCGTTGTTGATACGAAAGAAGATCTCAATTTAAATTTTATTCATACCTAATTCTTTATGGATAATTTCACCTAAGAATGCTAAGTTGCTATAGAAGTATCGGATTTCGCCTCAGTAGCAGACAATATAATCAATTATATTATTTTCTAATAAGCCCTTTTCATATGGAATTCTCGATTAATCAAAGTGATTAGTTGCTAATTCGACCAAATTGAATCACAAATTGAGCGTCATTTGGGTTCTGAGATGATTTTGAGCTTCACTGGTTTAGTTTCGTGTGAAAATGATAAGGTACAGTGGGGTAAGTGGGTAAAGGAAATCGTATAGTTTATGTTTGTTGGGTCATAGCATTTGCAGATTAAAATTAATCAGGTCATGTATATTATAATGATTAGCTTCAATCGAATCTGTGCAGGCTTACATACTTGATTTTTATACAAAAATATATGGAAAAAATAACACAACTTTTTGAAAATAGTGTCCGAAATAAATGGTCGTGTTTTTCAAATCAGTTTTAAATTTGATATTTGGCATAATTTATGTGAATTTTTCAGATTTCCAATAAATACTCATCAACATATGGAAACGATAACAACTTTATTTCCTTTAATCGAACATGTTTATAACCTGAACTTGTTAAATCTTCTCATGCTTTGTGAGAGTTATTAGGCTTTTGAGCCCGTTTGCCTTTCTTAGCTGCTTTTGATTGTTCCTCTGCATCCTTCTTCCTTAAGCGTTCGAGAACCTCTGACGATGTTATGACCTCCACGCCAGCACATATTTTCCTTCTCTTCTGACCTCTAGTTGACGGCTGTTGCTTTACGTGTTCAAGAAGGATTTCCTCGAATGATTTACCAGGCTTACGCTTAGTGGGAGGATCTTTATTCACAAGCGATAACGGCTTGGGAAGATATGCTTTGCTCGAGCTTCCTTCAGTATTATCAAATCCATGGAAACTTGATTCACTCGAGCTATCGAGAACAGACGCAGACGGTATGTTTTCCTGA